CCACCGTGTAACACACACACACACACACACACACACACACACACACACACACACACACAGAGAAAGGAGAGGGAAAAAGCTGTCATTTTGTGAGGCAGGAGCTTAAGGCGATTTCAGAGGAGGCTAATTATTTTGCAACCTTAGAAATTCCAGTACAATCAAGAAGAAATAAAGGAAACTGCATGTATCCCTGGCATTTGAGGATACACGTGTTACAAGTCTTTTAGCAAGTATTGGGCAAATACAGAAAAGGGACAAGGGCAGCTCATCCATCTTGAGGAAGCAGAGACACTCTGGCTTGTTTTAAACTGCTATACAACAAGGGCTACATCCTGCACTGTGCTGAAAAATCCTGTCTATACATCAAATAAAAACCTCTTAATCGCTTAAACACCTAAAGAGGAAAACAAATTTCTCTCTCAGCATAAACCTTTCTCTTCCTCACAAATCAAGCTAGGAGAAAGTGCTGGGATTTAGCCTTAAGTCACGATATATAGCTGCAATTCAGGGTTTTGTAGCTTTTCTTTTCCTTGCTCTGATATGTTATCTTCAGAATTAATACTATATTTTCAAGTTTTCTACAACCTAGCAAAACTCACAAAATTTGTTTGGCCATTTGTCCATGACTACTATGAAGTCTGGCATCTGCCTGAATTATGTTTTCAAAGGCTCACAACCATACCACCTTAGACCAAAGAATGAATTTTTATAAATGTTCATCCAGGCACACTGTCCTGCATTCTCGAATTAGTATTTGAATGCATTGCTTTGGACCTACACAGAAGCGGTGGGAAGAATGAACTCACTCAACATCCTTTACAAACATCACATAAAACTTCCCAGGTGAACTGGAGCTAAAAGAGCAAGAAGATGAGCTGAAATCTTAAAAATCATTGTCACCCAGGGAACAAAAAGAAGTACAAATGCTTTCTGCTTGTGTTACTCTGAACCTTTTCATATAAGGCCACAGAGTCACAGATGAGTGCCCACACTATGGCATCTGGCCAGCATCATTTTAAATTCTTGGATCCAGGAAACCATTCAGGTACAAACCATCTCTATAAAGCAGCTCCTCTTGAAAACTGACTCACAGTTGTACTGCTCTAAATAACAAAGCTCATGCCAAGTGCATCAAAGCCTTGAAACAAGAGATGACTTATTTTCAAAGCTTCAGAAAAATGTTCATATTTTCCAATCTTGATTTTTGTACCTGTAACTAATGTGTCTCCATATAAGGCCTTGAACTCATTGAATCTGCTTCCATCCACGATTCTAGCAATGACCTAAGAAGAAAAATAAGTGTCCCTGAGAAACTGTATCACAGAAGAATTTTGCATTGAAGTCATTTATAAGGAAGACAATTCAGAGTGACATTGTTGCTTTTGCAAAATCTCATTAGAATTTTACTTGACATGCTTGCTTAGGGCCCCAAAGTCACCCGGACACTGCAGTGGAGTATAAGATCCACTATGGTGCTGCATGCAAGAGAAGCAGCACAGAAGCGGGGGCCTGGTGGCTAGGCCCAGAGCTCCTGGGGCTGTTTCAGCACCTTGGCAAGGGTTCAAAGAGTTGATTAAAACAAAACAAAACAAAACAAAACAAAACAAAACAAAACAAAAAGAACAACAGAGCATAGCTAAGGGCTTGGAATCAGGGGAGACTGGCTCCGATCAAAGTGTCCACATGTGATCTGATGTTCCGGAGTAAATCACTTATCTGAGTCTCAGTTTTCACTTCTAGAAAATAATCTCATGTACTCAGTACTGCTGAACAAATGAAGAGAGGTTCTGAAAGCTGGGTAAACAAGATGAAATAGCATTAAAGGAACCTATGGAATAATGCTGAGATAAACAGCCAGCTCTGACTTCCAGCTCTACCACAGAAAGACTAGTCATGAAATCCTTAAAGTCCTGAGACATAGCTCAGTGGTAGAGTACTTGGCTAACGTGCAAAGCCCTGGGTTCCATCCCCAGCTCTACTTCCCTCCCCTGCAAAAGTTCATAAAGTCCCCTATGCCCGTTTCTCCCTGCTGCCACCTTCCATAAAGGATAACATTTTAAAAATTCTAATCAAAGCACACTGACTATTTTCATTAAAGGTAGCCATTATCATAATTACTAAACCCGGAATAAATGTTCATTGATTCTCAATCTGAACCAGTTGAAGGAATATCTACAAACACTGTTAATCTAGAAGGAGAATTTATTCTTTGAGGCTCCATCACACAAGACTCTTTAGCAGACCAGATGCTTCGCACGCATGGAGCTCTAGCTTCAGTCCTAGTACCAAAAGAAAAGGCGCACACTGCAGATGTCTCCGGAACCTATCTGAGGTCATACGTGTTGCTTCTCTGGAGCTGACACTGCCCTTTTCTGCTTGCCACCCACCGAAAGTCTTCTTTTGTAAGATGCAAAGGCTAAAAAATGAGGGAACACACCCTAGCATCTTTCTCAGCATAAACAAAAACTTGCCTTGAATTGTGTTTTAGTCATTTTCCTAAATAAGGAGGCATAAAGATTATGTTTTAGGTGCTACAAACATCCCAGACCACATCTTTTTTTTAATTTTATTTTTTTTACTTCGTTTTTACTGAATTTTTGTGTATTTTATACATAATATCTCAAAGAATCTTAATCATCTTTATACCCCTATCCCCACTGGCAAGCTCCCACAGCCCCCCACTGGAACTCATATATTCTGTCATCCCTATTAAGGCCCAATGTGTCAAGTCAGTGTCCCTAGATGTTCCCCTGTGCAAGTCCATCCACTGAGGTCTAGTCAGCCTATCTAGACCTTTTAACAAGCAATCAACGCATACCAGCTGCCACTCTTCCACATGATGATGAAGCTGTCAGAGGCCACAGCAATCTAGGACCACTTAAAATAGAGAAACCTTGGATTGGCTTTATAATTAATAGCACTCTTCTACATAAAGCACATTAACCTGTTCCCATAAGAACCCAAACTTTAGAGAGACATAGGTAATATAGTAACCATCTCAATTCTAGCATCAGAAACCAATACTCAAAGAGGTTAAACTCCTACTGCATCTGACTGACAGAACAAATACTGAAGCCCAGGTTTTCCAGCTCAGACTCTAGCATCACTGAAGCTCCCCTCACCATCAAGGTTTCCATGCAAGGTCTATTTACTATAGCAAAATTTAAACTTTATAGTAACTGGTCAGTATAAAGCAGCACACACATGGCAGCTAACAATCATCCATGACTCCAGTTCCAGGAAATCTGATGCCCTCTTCTAACCTTTGCAGGCATTGCATGACACACAGGCAATACACTCACACAAATAAAAATAATAAATACTAAATATTTTTTAATGTATACAGCCATCCCCTGTCATCTGTGGGGCCTTGTTCTAGGACTCCCATACCAAAAATCCATGGATGCTCAAGTCCTTCATATGGAATGGCTTAATATTTGTACATAACCTATGCACATCTGCCTGTATACTTTGAATCATCTCTACATTACTTATGAGTAAAATAATGCAAATACTGCATATGAACAGCTGTCATACTATACTGCTTAGGGAATAATGATATGAAAAAAGTCTACACATATTCAATATGCATATAATATCTTTCTTGAATACTTCTAAGATGTGGTTGGTGGAATCAATGGATGTAGAATATGGACAGCCAACTGTATATACAGTAAGATAAAATGTCTAAATATTACCTGTTATTTCTGGGTGGTAGAACTACAAGCAAATTAATTTTCTTTCTACATTTTTCCCCTACAACTAACACAAAATAGTTTATAGTTAAAGAAGAAAGTATCTTAAAATATTAAAGCTTCTAGCATGGAATCTCATTAAGATGATTTCCTAATTTAAAAACTATTCTGCCAGCCTCAGAATACTGAAGAAAATCAAAGTCTACATGCTCTGAGCAAACACTAAAAAATTGTCACTCTAGATTATAGAAGACTGTGTCGCAATCTGTAACCACAGCAACATCTCCAACTATAATCACGTCTACTCTTCGATAATGTCATATTGATCTAAAAAGGTATGTTTTTTCTTCTACAACTTACTGACATTTCATCTGTTTTGCAAAATAAGAACACCGAGGAGAAACAGTTGAAAATGGTGAAGTTGCCGTCCATCCTTCTCAGAGTCCATGGGAACACTGAGCCCCTTGTGTGAGCAACCAAGCTTCATTACAGTACAATGAAAATTTCCCGGTCACTCAGAGCCTTTCCCCCTCACTTGGTATTTACTGTGGGTCAGTGGCATCTGCACTATATAAAGACATTGCTCCCGGCTCTCCCAGCTCCTTACTGAGATCCACATCCATCCCTCTGCATGAACACATCCGAACAAGCTTTCGAGATGGCAGCTTGGGCTCTACTCTCACGTACCTCACGGACATCAAAGGTCCTCTTGAGGTTTGTACCAACGATCCCATACAACTCATCAGCAGGGAACAAAGGCTCTTCAGAAGGCTCAATGGTAACCTAAGGAAATTTAGAACAAATGCACTAGATGTGATTCAGGTGGCATATGCCAAAATGCTTCACAAGAAAAGACCAGACAGAAGAGTATATGTACTTACATCTACTTTCTTCTGATAATTGAGACTCCTCACAACCTTCCTTGCTAAGTGAAGGGCATGACAGTCATCCAAAGCATAGTGGTCGGTGACCCCAGACTTTCTGCAGAGCAAAGCACACTAAATAATCAGAACCCAGAAAGGGAAAGGAAAGACCTTAAATCCCAAATATCGTCTCCCATCTAATAATGACACTTTTACTTTCAAAACACTTCAGTAAATGTCATCTTATTTGATACTCCCATCTCTGAAAAAAGATCATCATCCTCATTTTACAAAGAAAAAAATCTAAGATTACATGCCCTGCCCCAGGACCAGCAGCAGCCGTACCAGACCTTGCGCCCTGTATTTCTCAATCTCAACTTTCTGCTAGACTGCAGATCCTTGCTCATAAGACTTCTATTAAGGCTCCTTCCACACACCTCCAACAGAACTATATATGATATCCAACCACAGCCCACATTTTCACCACAGTGACACACTTGACAGTGCAATTGACTCAATGTAGCAGTACCTGGCTGAGCTTCTAAATGCAGGTGCCTGCAATGGCCTCTCATTTCTGAGACTGCTGAGCCTCCTTCCTACCATGAGAGTAAGCTATCACTGGCAGTAAACAAAAAGACTTGTATGCACTGTCCCTCAGATAACAGGTAAAAATGGGAACTGATAAAATGGCTCTGTGGTGAAGGCCACAAGAGTGGTCAATTTTGAGTGCAGTGAAAGAGTCATGAACTTGCTCTGGTGATCAGTTCTGCCCTCATCAGAATTGTTATTTCACATGTACATATCCTAGGTCTCCCCTCCCCTCTGTTCTCCTCCCCTCCCTTCCCCTCTCCATCCCTCCCCTTCCTTCCTTCCTTTAGTAAAGTTGAAGTTTATTAAGAAGAGATTTTAATAGAAGTTTAAGTATAGACATTAAGGGACAGTACATACCCAAGTGTGAGTGTGGGCTTCTTAAAAAAACAGTTGTGTTGGGGCTGGAGAGATGGCTCAGCAGTTAAGAGCACTGACTGCTCTTGCAGAGGACTCAGGTTCAGTTCCCAGCACCCACATGGTGGCCTAACAACCATCTTTAACTCAAGTTCCAAAGGATCCAACACCCTCTTCTGATCTCCACGGGCATTGCACAACACAGGTGCACTTACATACACTCATACACATAAAATAAAAAGATAATAAACAAAATATATTTTAAGAGACAGTTGGGGGCTGGAGAGGGGGCTCAGTGGGTACTTGTACTTGCTACGCAAGTACGAGGACCTGAGGTTGGATCTCTAGAACCCACATAAAAGCCAGATGTGTAGTGTGAGCACCTATAAGCCCCATGATCCTACAAGGAGATGGGAGGTGGAGACAGGAGCCCCCTGGAAGCTTACAGGCCCCCGTCTGAAACAAAGTGGAAGGCAAGGAACAAGCTATCCTCTCACCACCACACACGCACCATGACATGCATGTACTCTCATTCACACATGAATATGTGCACACATGCATGCACACATGTGCACACACACAAACAGAGAGAGAAAGAGTTATACCTAGGACTTTCTATAATAAAGTACTTCTATAATAGGTAAAGTCAGGGCTACAGAGATGGCTCAGTGGTTTAAGAGCACTCACTGCTCTTCCAGAGGAGCCAGGTTCAGTTCCCAGCACCCACACAGCAGATAACAACCATAACTGCAGTTCCAGGGGATCCAACGCCCACTTCTGGCCTCTACAAGCACCAGGCATGCACATTGATGCACATACATACATGCAAGCAAAACACTTATACACATAAAATTTTTTAAAAATCTTTTAAAAAATATGTAGTCAGGCAAAAAGATTTAACAGGAAAAACCCCCACAAAAATTTGGTTTATTTTATGGGTAAGTAAACTTCTATAGCCTAAGTCTCAATGCCTTGTCTTTGGAAACTGTTCAACTTTTAGAAGTAGTTATGGATGTTCCTAAATAAGAACAAAGACCATGCTTACTCCTCCAGAGCCTCAAAAACAGTAGCCCCTCCAGTTCTTTAATATATTTTACAACTGCGCTTAGTTTTACAGTGCTTCACACATAACAGCAGCTATAATTGCTGATTTCTCCTACACTGCATCTCAGTAAGAAAGCAGGAGGAACTTTAAATCAGCAAATATTTAGGGGCTGTAGAGATGGCTCAGCGGTTAAGAACACTAGTTGCTCTTGCAGATCCCAGCACCCACACGCCAGCTAACAACTGTCCATAACTCCAGTCTCAGAGGATCCGACAGCCTCTTCTGACCTCTGAGGGCATTGCACGACATGGGTGCACTTACCTACATGTAGGCAATTCACACATACACATAAAATAAAAAAAATAAATTTTTTTAAAAATCAGCAAATATTTAAAACAGTATTTCCTTGCAAAAGCTGCCTAATATTTGCCAAACTACAAAGAGAGGGAAAGCTTGGCTGGGATACTGAAGTCTTTCTACCAAATTAACTCTTAACAATGACTATGAAAACACGTATAAATATGTGTTTACAATGACAGAGAAAACCATAGCAATTTGTAACTAGTCTTAATTTTGTTTTTCTGTTTTAGAGACAAGGTCTCACTACACAGCCGAGGCAATCCTCCTTAACCTTTTGGGGTACTGGGATTATAAGTATGCCCAGCTTTAATACTGTTTGGCTTTTATGGGTTTATTATGTGAGTGTGTGTGTGTGTGTGTGTGTGTGTGTGTGTGCGCGCGCGCACGCACAAGTGGAGGCCAGAAGACAACTTTTGAGACTCAGTTCTCTCTTTCCTCTGTGGGCTCCAGGGATCTAACTCAGGCTGTCAGGCTTGCATGGCAAGCACTCTACCCACTGAGCCATCTCACCAGCCAGCACTATTTTTTTAAAAAGTCATCACCACCTTGAGATTTTCCTATGATCTTCAACAGATTATTACAAACAATAACAAGTGATCCTAACAGTATTTGACAGGCACTATGAGGAAGATGCTGTTCCCATCATCACTATATACATGAGCAGATGAGCCTTAAAGAAGTTAATAATTTCTGTCTTGTCACAAGAATGATCACTGAGGAAAACAGAAGTAGAATTCCAGAATCCATAGCCCTAACTTGATAGACTGCCTATAGATTTACCTATTTTAAATTGTTAAAATTTTACAAAAATTAATACTCCTGGGGCTGGAGAGATGGCTCAGTGGTTAAAAGTGCATGATGCTCTTTCAGAGGACCTAGGTTTGATTCCCAACACAGATGTTGGGCAGCTCACAACTGCCTGGGACTCCAGCTCCAAGGGATTCAACACCTCTGGCCTCTGTGGACACCTGCACTCACATACACACACCCACACACAGACACCACTCATATCATCTTCCTTGCTTTCTCCTGACTGAAGACCAACAAACACAAGCCCGCTTTGTCCCATACCCCTCAATCACCCTTTCTGCCTGTGGCCAGTCTCTCCAGATGGATACATCACCCCAGCCAGGCACATCACCAGTCACTCTCCATGGTACAGTCAGGAAATGGGTGGATGCATCGCAGTGCACCTGACTTATGCAGCTAGGCTCACTAAAGCACACAGATGTCTGCCCCAATGCTCTGAACACTTCTGACCACATCAACTCCACCTTAGGCATGTCTTTAACCATTTTTCTTTTAGCTTTCAACTGTAAGATTGGAAGCATGTTTGTATACTTATTGTGTAATTGCTTAAATTCATTCATTTCTCTTACCTGCCTAATTAAACTATAAATCCTTGAGGCCAAGGATTAGGTCTAAAATTTTTCTATATTACCAATAACATCTAATACAATCACTCAACCCACACAAATGTTCAATGTAAAAGGAACGAATGAAAACCTGAGACAAAGATCCCTTAATAAGATCATCACAAGAGATGGTACTCTACTCTAATAGGAAAGTGGACTCCTCCCATAGACACTGGGTTCCTGGGTTTATGGTAGAGCAGAGTGCTTGCTGTCCCTGACGGTTAGGTCTACCTGCCCTTTAGGACACAGTGCTGTGCCCTCTTCTCTGTACGTATTCACACAAAGGTGAACTGTACAGTCTCATGATTTAAATTCCACCTATATATGCAGATGCTTCCTAATCTGGATTCTGACCTGGCCTCTTACAGCTAACTGCCTGCTAAGCAATCCCTCTCACAAGCATCCCTAGTTTTACAGGTATATAAAAATGTCTGATTCCCCTGCCTTGGTCCCAAATCTTGTCTTCTTCCCCTTGTCTCAATATTGGGAAATAAAATCATTTCTTGTCATCATCTTTATCATCTCACTTTCCTATATTCTTCACAGGAAATCCATCAAGTGTCTTGATCCCACCTAGAAAATAAAGTCATGCCTGGTATGTAACAGGCACTCAAGGAAGTTTTGTTATGAAAATGATGTCCTAGTTTGTTTCTTCATTGCTATGACAAAATACTCTGACCAATACCAACTTGGGGAGGAAAGGGTTTATTCAGCTTACATCTCCCAGGTCACAGTTCATCAGGGAGCCCAAGATAGGAACTCAGGGCAGGAACCTAGAAGCAGGAGCTGGAGCACAGGTCATGGAGGAATGCTGCTTATTGGCTTGCTCCCCTGGCCCATGCTCAGTTTGCTCTTATCCAACATAGGCCCACCTGCCCAGGGGTGGCACCACCCACAGTGGGCTGGGCCCTCCCACATCACTCAACAATCAAGAAAATGCCCCACAGACATGACCACAGGCCAGTCCAATGGATTTGCAATTCCCCAATTGAGGCTCCCTCAACCCAAGTATGTCAAGTTGACACTAAAGCTATCCAGCACAAATGAGAAACTGCCTTTCCAGTTCTTCTCAGTTCCAGTGTGCTCGCTTTAGCAGCACATACAGGAAAATTGGAAGGATACAGAGAAGATCAGCATGGCCCGTAGTGGGGCCAGTGAGATGGCTCAGTGAGTAAGGATGCTTGCCGCTGAGCCTGAAAACCTGAGTTCAATCCCTAGAACCCATATAGTGGAAGGAGAAAATATACTCCCACAAATTGTTACAACCACCACTCCTGCCCTCTGGCACACATGCACTTACATTTGCATGTGCACCCACACATACACGCAATTAAAAACAGCTGACACCCGACCTGAAATACAATTCTATCATTCAAAGAACTAAACCCAGTTCCTTTAAACAAAGTAACCATTGATCCTGAGAGGAAACATCGTTCCTGCTTCACCTGCAGTGAAGATCAGCACCTCCAAGATCCTCCCCAGACACCTCTTCACCAGTGGCCGCCTTCACCTACAAGGATAACAATCAACAGTGAGACTGGTCCACAGAAAATGAAAATGTTTTCCTAACAAGCCCATCTCATTACCCAACTTTACCTCCGTCCTACCACACAGCTGAAGAACATTCTGCTTTCTCATTCTACCCCTAGACAAAGTGAGAGAATATTTTCTCTAGTCTACAGATGAGAAATCTGAGCCCAGACTCACAGCTGCCTACAGGTCCTGGACAAGGGACAGAGCCCGAAAGCTCACCCTCCGCTTCACTATGCTGCCCTACACATGTCATAAAGCCTTTGAGCTGCGTGTGCTCCCCTTAGCTCCCCTTTTATTCTCCCCGTTGGCCTGCAGAGTCCTCATGGTGAGGGATGCCCTACAGTATTAATCAAGTAGCACTAGCCTATCCATGGTCAAGAAGAAAATGCCACTTATACATCTACAAGGCACTTGTCACCCTGTATGTATTTCTGCACACATCTTTGTCAGGAACTCTATACTGTGGATTCCTTGGGAATAGGAATGATTCATTCATCTTCAAGTACTCAATAACCAGGCTAAAAAAATTCCAGTTATTATCATCAATTCTGTGTTAAACCTTTAGGGTGTGGGGGAAAAACCTGCCTATGATACCTAAACCTAAGATCCAATAGAATGCAACCCAAAAAAAAAGAAACTCAAACAATAAATCAAGAATGACTTAGAGTCTAAGAAACTCTAAGAGAAAAATTTTTTTTAAATCATTTAGTGCTAAAATACCAACCTAATCTGGTAGGAACTGTTTATTGATTCCTACTTCTTGGGCTGATTAATCTGTTTCTTCTTCATATAAGAAAAGATTTTATTGAAATGAACATTAATTTAAAATACAGCACAGAAATGGCTATTATTTACTACATCAAAAGCTCTGTCTTAAATAAAATCACTTTCCACAGAAGTAATTAAATTTTTTTACCTCTATTCTACCCTCAGAATCAATTATTGGTTCTCTCCAAAAAATTCAGTGTTAAAACAGTATTCAGTCCAAACAATAACTAATTATAATAGGTGTCTGGATATTTAAAGTCCTAAAAAGGGGTAAACAACAGATATATTTATTTTCAGGGATCTGACTAACATCCACTGAAAAAAATGAGGATTTGTCATCATTTAATATTTACTGAACACCCACATGTTTGATTCTGTGACAGGTGCAAAGATGATAAAAGTCAAAGACAACAAAAGAAATTCATTCTACTAAACAGCAAGTTCGGGAGGTAAAGGAGAAACAAGAACAGAAAGTTCCTTCAAATCCTCTTCTTGTCACTAACCATCTGTTTCCAATCACACTAAGCTACTCAGCTAACAGCACCTGAACCTCACCCTTCAAAGCCTTGTCTCATCTTTCTACAGATACATGTCAGGACACTAAATTTTCAGGCAGATGGGGCTACAGATTCTTCCTCCTCTAAACACCATCTTTCATGGACCACTGATGGCAGTTCATATATGGAGAGCTGCAGGACTTGGCTAGTGAGTCAAGTTAAATCTGAACCCATGAAGGAGACCTGGACAAAATCTTCCAGAATACTTGGCGTTGTTCCAGTGGTACATGCTGCTTAACCTCCCAACAGAGGTTTCCAAATTTCACTCATATCTTTACTTGCGAAAGTTTGTTCCCTTCACAGCACAAGGTGAACTGTGAGTGCATGTTCTCACCAAACAATCGCAACTATATCATACACAGCATGAGGAATGCTAATGGATAAGAACACCACTGGCTTTTTAAATAATGTCTAGAGACTTACCACAGTTAAAATAACAGCCTCTTTTCATCCCTCATAAGTATTACTAGAAATTCACAGGATAACTCAAGAAATACACTCATTTTACATTAAAAAAAACAAAACCCAAAAAACCAAGCTCTTTCTAATAGCATTCCAAAACTAAAAGTTACTTTAGGGGACATAACTGACATCCATGAGGTCTACCATTTTAAAGCATACAGATCTGTAGCTTTTCATTTATCTATGAGACTGTGTCGCCATCACCACTACCTAATTCCAAAACATTCCATCACTCTCAGAAGGTACATCACTTCCTCTTCCTTCTTCCTCCTATACATTGCCAGCCAGTATTCTACTTCCAGACTTCCAGTCTTCATGAATTTGGCTCCCCTAAATATTTCACACAGTGGAATGGTGTGTGTGTGTGTGTGTGTGTGTGTGTGTGGTTCCCAGGTTAATCCATGCTGAAGCACATGCAAAACTTCATTCTTTTCTATGCCTGAATCTCATCTCATCGCATGTGTATTATGGTTGTATAAGTCCCATTACTTTCTTCTATTTTCTTATTAAACATTCTTGCGTTTTTCTTCCACAATGAACTATTCTGTTGTAAAGCACATGGCTGCCTGTGCCTTTCCAGCTTTGAAGTCTAGGATCATTAGGATCATGGTGTGACATAAGCATGCCAATGAATTCATTACTGAAATCACTGCCATTGAGTCAACCAAAAGGAGGTGAAGAATGCAGGATGCCGGAATGCAGGTGTCACATGGTAGTGACCTGGACAGCTGCACAGGACTCCATTCTCAGAAGGGCCTGAAGCTTGGAATTTAATGCTCTGCGGTCACCCTCTGAAAATCTGTGTGTGTGTATGCACTTGTCTGCTTGTAGGTGTGTGGGTACATATGCATGTATATGTGCATGCATGTGGAAGCCAGAGGTCAGCCTCAGATGTCATTCCTAAGGAGCCATTTACCTTGTTTTTTGACACACGGTCTCACTGGGACCTACAGCTCACCAATTAGGCTAGGTTGGCTGGCCAGTGAGTCCCAGGGATCTCCTGTCTCCACAGCACTGAGATTACAAGCACATGCTACCACACCTGACTTTTTTGTGTGGGTGCTAGGGATCAAACTTAGGTCCTCGAGCTTATACAGCAAGTATTTATCAGCTATGCTGAATTCCCAGCCTCATGAAATTTCTAATCTTTGAATGAGGAGTAACAACACGTCTGTAATCCTAGCACTTGAGAGGTGACGATGTATCACTTGAGATGTAGTTTGAGACCAACATAGAAAACACAGCAAGACCCTCATCTAAAAAAAAAATCTTAATCTTTGAATTTGTTTTTTATTCTCTCTCTTTTCTATTTATTTATTTTGGTGTTCTGCGGTTGAACACAGGGCCTTGTATATGCTAAACACATGTTGCACCACTGACTGAGCTACACTCCACCTTTACTCTGAATTCTTAACTGTTTCATAAATCTATTGGCATATATTTATTGTACAAAGTGATAGTTTTCATTATACCGTTTTCATTTAAGTACATCATGTACCTACCCACCCTCGTTTACCATCTCCTGGCCCTTCTCTTCTTCCCCTTAAGCCCCTCCTCTTCCCAGACAGCCCCCTTCTACCTTCATGTCAACACTGGGTGTCTTCCTCTATTGCTCTCCACCTGGATTTATTTATATTTGTTTTATGTGTATGAGTGTTTTGCCTGCATGTATATAAGTGTACCAAATCTGCAGTGCCTGCAGAGGTCAGAAGAGGACATGGGATCCCCTGAAATTGGCAGTAGAGACATTTTTCAGCTGCCATGTGGGTGCTGGGAACCATCTGTAACTCCAGTTCCAGGGGATGTGACATCCTCTTCTGGTCCTGATGGGCATTGTATGACACAGGTACACCTACATACATGCAGGTAAAATACCCATACATATAAAATATGAATAAACAAATAAATAATAAATAAATGAAAATTTAAATACATGACTACAGCAGCAAAAGGGGCCACAGCAGAAAGGGGAGTTCTTTACAATTCGGTAATCTTTTTTATTTTTTATTTTATGTGTATGAGTGCATTGCCTGCATGTCGTGCAATGCCCATGGAAGTCAGAAGAGGGTGTCTGTCAGATCCCCTGGAACTGGAGTTTGGGATGATTGTTAGCCCCCATGCGGCCATGTGGGTGCTGGGGATTGAACCTGGGTCCTCTGCAAGAGCAGCCAGTGCTCTTAACTGTTGAGCCATCTCTCCACCCCAATTCAGTAATCTTAATACCACTTTTTTCCTCCTTTTGAACAAGGAGGCCCATGTTTACATTTTGGGCTTAGATCTACACATTTCACAGCTGTTTTTTATAAGTGGTTTGTAAAGGCTGCCAGATTTGGACATTCAGAATGTCTCTCACAGCTATTCTAACTTGTTCTTATTTTTATTTTTGAAAAACCTTTGTTTTGGGGGCAGAATAGGGAAGACTGAGAAATGGTTTCATGCACCATAGGCTGGCTTCAAACTTGGCTATGTAGCCAAGAATGTCCTTGAACTTCTGGTCTTCCTGACTCTACCTCCCAACTGTTGGGATTATAGGCATGCACCACCATATCCAGCTCAAAATTTACCTTCTAGAACAAGTCATGCATTCAAAAAGCTCAAAAAGCCAAAGGTATTTCTCCTGCCCTGTTCCCTCTGTTCTACAGTGATTGCATCTTTTCCAAAATTCCTTTATGCATGTGTAAACATATAAATGCATATTTTCACTGGGCGTGGTGGCACTGTGAGTTCAAGGCCAGCTTGTTCTACATAGTGAGTTCCAGGACAGCTGAGGCTACAGGGAGACCCTGTCTCAAAAAGACAAAAAAAAAAAAAAGCATATTTTCCCACATTTTACCCCAAAGTAATATACTATGTGTAACTCAGGGTAGTCAAATTCTTAAGAGTCAGAAAGAAAATGGTGGTTACCAAGGCAGCAGAGGTGCCGACATTAAGGGAGCACTTGATGGGTCTTGGATGAAGAAGATGAAAGAATTCGAAAATGCATATGGTGATAGCTGCATGAAAACATGAGTATGTGTAATGCCACAGAAGCATACAATTCAGAGTATAGATAAATTTTATGCAATATACCATACTTAACATAATCTTTTAACAGCTAAAATTATATATTTATATATATTATAAATTATATTTATATGACAATCTTACCAAGGGTGGTCCTGCCAGGAAAATGGTACCCTGCTTGCGTACGATGATGTTTTCATCAGCCATTGCGGGCACATATGCACCTCCTGCTGTACAGGAGCCCATGACCACTGCTATCTGCAAAAGAGATAGCAGGAAAAGCCATGAGATGTGGCTCCAACAGCAAACATGGTATTGGAGTGATAGCCCCACAAACACTATAGTGCCAGGAGCTATTACTAGCTGATCATCAGAATTCATAAGCATCTTTGTTCTGGAAATTGTTATTGAATATGTTAATGCTGTAATGAAATGCTTCTAATCATGTGGTTATTAAATAATTAAAAAAAAAGTAATTGACTTTG